TCAGAGATCTGCCAATACTTCCTTCACCCACTGTACATGATCCGCGTCGATAAATCTGACGCAGAAGACAAAATGCCAAGAAATGGGCGATTCGGTGTCAGGCGCGTTCTCTCCCCGAGCAACCGCCGGAAATACGCAGAAAAACCGAGGGGAGGGTGCGTAGGATAGAACATACTACAACAGGATGCTGTCGACGCGTTCGATCGGCCGCAAATGGCAGGACAGCTTTTTCTGCGATTCTCCTAGAAATAAATATAACGTTCTCCCGATTTATCTTCGCTCGATCGTTTCTCACAAACAGCTTTAACGCGTTGCTAATGTAAGCCAATCCTTTGACGAGACCTAGGATCCGTTCAGTGAATGAACACGTTCCCAATGAATGGCAACACGCTGGCCACATCGCTGGCGAAAAAAATTATAACAGTGCCTGTTAATCGCCAATAAGCAAACATAAACGAATAAATAATTAGAAGGGAAGGGATATATATATATAACGGCCTGTTCGCCGTTCGGTGAGTCGACAAAAGGATCGAGAACGATCCGAATCTCAAAAGCGAGAATTAAGGATCGTTAGTGTCGATAAATCGTGATCAAGTTTCGGCAGTTTCGAGTTCGCGCCGGGCACACCCCCTTCGTCTCGAGGCCCATCTTCATAGCCGATAAATCGGCCGTGTGTAATCGATCGCCGCTTCACGTTTCAACGACGCTTCGTGACCGATCTTCTCCTCCGATTCTGTCCGTCTAGACTAGGCTCACGAGTGAAATACAACTCCAAATACAGGGTGATTTAACGCGATGTTTCAGTGAATCTGCAGAATCTATAAAAATATCCAAGATGACTCCAATTTAATAATCGAGCACTGAACATTGAAACTGTTTGAAGAAATTGTACAATAATAATAAACATTTAAAAACTTGAAGCCTCTGTAATTTTAGTTAATATAATCGTAATTAAATTTATGTGATTTATAATTATTTAATCACATTTAATTTATAATTTTTACTTATTGATGCTCGATTTAGGGACAAGACTAGACTTAAAATTCGAATTGAGACTTTGTGGGGAATGCGATTTGTTGCGTAGAGACACACGGTAACCGATAGTGCGATAATTTATTGATAAACTCAACAAAACGTGTGACCGTCAGGTACAATTCACATAATACACACTTACGCGAAAACGACGCGTTTGAATCTGCATCGCGCGTATACACCCTTTGTAACCTCGTGTAAGTGACGTGACCCGTTACGATGCCACGCACGAACGATCGTCTTTAATCTCATCGTGCAACGCCGAATTCGTAATATCTTCGTGGAACTCGTGATGTCACGAAACATCACCGAAAGGTAGACTGCGGATTTCTAAATTCTAAATTCTGATGTGTAAAAAACACACATGTAATGCAATACAAAATGTAGAAAGCATCCAAAGTAAAGTAATTGTTACAGTACTAGGTATTTCTGAAAACTTTCCGAATGTTCTCTTTCATTTTTAATATGATTCGCTTTAAAATTTTTGCGAATCACGATTGATCTCAAAACTTTCTAATTTGAATAATAAAATCACCACAACTTCTGAAACAACCTGTTACATACATATTTAATACATAGTAGATGAAACAAATTTTTAATTAGCTTCCATTTGTTTAATTACTAAAATATATATATATATATAAATTTCCATGAAAATCTGCATGAAACAAATTTTTAATATATATATATATATTTCCATGAAAATCTGCAGTCTACCGATAGATTTTGTCGGTAACGTACGTAGTCACTCGTAACCAATTTCAATTGAAAATAAAATACAATTGACATACCTTCAAGTTGGATATCAGTGCGTGATACGATAAGCACGATAACTGGGTAGACGTAAGACTAGCGTTAATAATACAATACGAACTGCATGCGATGGCAACGTCTATGAAAATCTGGCTGTTACGAAGCGTTCGGACGATCAGTGTACAGGCTGATTCAAAATATGTGGGAAGTAAGCAGGGGTTCAGCACATTAAATATTAAAATAAGAATAAATATACAGCGTGTCTCAGGACGAGTAGTATAACTGAGTGAAAAAAGATCTCTTGTTCCTCTATACTGATCGTCTGGACGATCCTTTGTCACGTGCGTGAACGCATGGACGTGAACGCGGATGTGAATGCTTTCGTAGAATTCATAGTTAATGATCCAAGTTGATCGTATTACTATATATGACCGAGGATCGATACACAGGTACAGTAGAACCTCGTCTACACGAACTTATCGAACAACAAATAGTTTGTGTAATTTCATTTAATGGGAATATACTGACTTTCCTCTCTATTCATGATTTTTCGTTTACATGCGGTTCTTCGTCATTGAATTAGAGATATTTTTAATTTAATCAACATTTTATATACTTTCAGGAATATTTGGATTGATACGAATCTGATTAAGTAGTTAACTTAGACGTTAACTGTTTAAAAATGTGTATACACATGTCCTAATTTAATGGGCAGAGACTGCAAGTTTAAATAAGCGGCAAATTGACTATTGTCATAACATATATCGACATTCATATAAAAGTAAATAAATTTAAGCAGCAAGAGGTGTTAACTAAAATTTCGCTGAAATAAACGGAGTTTTACTGTACAACAAATATATTAATCGCGATAATTATCTAGATATTACGGCAAACACGTGAACATCGTCATTTTTTTCCATGTGTTTACACTACCATCCATAAGTATTTGAACAGTTGGTGCACTCCAATCGAAAAAGATCGGCATTTTTATTATATTTTCGTATTTCATGTTTCTTTATCTACTTCTTGCAATAAGTGAATACGAATTGATACTGAAACAAGGAATATTTGCATCGTTCAAGTTCTACGTTTATAATAATAACTTTGAGAACTTTCAAGATCTTAAATACAATTTTATTATATATTATAATTTAAGTTAGTTTGTCTTTGCAGAAAAGATATCATTCATGCCTCTTCAATTGTTCTTTTTATTTATTTAACTCGTTTACTAATTCGTTCATTTCACTTGTTTACTAATTCGAAGTGCGTTAAGAAAGGAAGCACGTTTCATTTATCTTACGAAGAAGAGGAACACATATGTTTTCGATATGAAGGAAAGCACATTGATACGATTTTCAACGAATTTCGTCAGCACTTCTTACGGGGAAAAGTAACACGTTTCAATGATTTCGAGCAAAAAGCAGCATGTTTCGATTGCAAACGATGAAAATAATGACGTCTGAATAGTTAACGATGAAATCTCATGGAATCAGAATTTGATTCTTACTTAATTTCAATGTATATCCAATTATTAAATGTTAACCATTGTAAATTACCATTATACATAAATCATCATATTAACACAAGAGGATGATTCAGATACAAAACTCGTTTTCAGAGAAATCAGAATACAAAAAATTAGAAAAATAAAGAATATCAACTTTTATTTATACATTTTACGAAAAACCATTCAAATTCCTGAAAATACAGTATTGTCATTCTACAAAATTTTTCGGAAAAGTCATACACTGGTCATTTTGATAGTTCTAGCGTTAAGTGTGAACCATTATAGATATTTTATAAATAATTATAAATAATTCTTCCCTTCCTCGCGTAACATGTGTTCGTTTTTATTAGAAATTCTTTCTGGTGATACGATGAAATCAATTGCTTCTTTTTCACCATATATAAACGAAAATATAATATTTTCAAAAATATAATATAATATTTTTCCTGACGAAACGATGAAATAGATTGTTATTGACGAAACATGCTACTATTCATAAGAGAAATTGAAGTATATTCCTTTTCGTAATTAATTGAAATGAGATACGCACATTGATCGCCATGACGGTCTATGTCTATGAATATTTCAGAATAATTAAAGTAAAACGAATATCATTGACAAAGAGCTTTATAAATAACATAAATAACTGGATAACGTTATAAAACGAAAAATACGCTTTCGTTGTACTTTTATTATCTTTTCTCCTACGCATATTAAGATATATGTAATTAGTACCTTATATTATTGCCTAAGATAAAATCGTCGACTAAAATTAGGTTAGAAACTCTCGTTTGATATGCATACATACGTACTATATTGGAACGTGTCGGAATACTTAGGGACGGCAGTGCACATGTCCGAAAATGAATCAGTTCCTTCAAGCAACAGGACCGGTAAGTTTAATTAACAGGACTAATTAAGTAAAAACATTGTTCTGTGCGACAAAAGTGCGACAATTTACGTACGTGTTTGGAACAGCTTCAGTTTGAGCAATCCGCTGATCCGTCGCGATCACGTGACGTACATATATTCTCTGTGCGCATGCGCGCACGTATCTGGATGCGTGCGCGCATGCGCGTATCAATAATTCATACGCATTCATTTTGTACGCGCGCTCTCGTGTGTACATATACTGGCACATTAGAAATTGGCGCGCATTCTCGTCCCGATGACGAGAGACCGTGTTAGATTGATAGATCGCGGATCTATCACGGTAAGCCTCTGCAAAGGTGATCGCGAGATTACTTGACAAAATAATGGAAGGCAATTCGAGGGAAATTCGATCGTTGAGACGTGAAATAAATGCCCGAAGGGGTTATGATCGAACAAACTCGCTTGTAAGTTTGCAATGCGCGTTGTTAATGCCAGCCACTTCGATCAGCTATCGAGTACAATTCCAGACGCTTGCTCGTTCGATCCATTTGCTCGATCAGATTTCTTCGGGCCGAATTTTCCTGTGTTTTTAAAACTGGGAGCGTTGAAACGACGTACGTTGCGACGATTTACAGAATTATTCGTACATTTGACGACACTTTTTACGAATATATTATCTGTATTGTAGAAAACATTCGGAGTGTTTACTAGCGATACTCAAGTATCACGATTATATTGATAAAATTTTTAACGATTCTGAAAATATAGGTGAAACATTTAAAAATATTTAATAGCACAAAGTATTTGTTATTATTAATAATATTAATTATTATTATATTATTAAATTATTTACACAAGTATATTTTGCAAAAGTCACAAAGTTATTTAAATAATCAGAATCCATTATATCAATAAGCCTCCATATTGAGTGAAACCATTTTTAACATTTATTATATACTTAAGATGGCCATTCATACTTTGCCTTTATCAAATATGGATTTCTAATAAATATCGTATAATTCCTATATACACTTTTAGATAGACCAATATAATTATGAAATTAATTTTTTAATCTCATTACACGAGTACAGAATTGATATTCAATTCATAAATTCATTCGTCGAAAGAATAATGATAAATTCTAAAGATAAATTTAAACAATAATATTTATAGTATCAATATCTTCCTACGCTCTTTCAATTTATAGAATAAATTGATATGTACGATCGTCTTGACGTCGTTTCAACGCTCGTGTGTGCCCCTAGCCCAAGGTTGAACCAATAATTTCTCAACCATAAAATCATAATCCAACCTCAATCATAAGTCGCGCGTGATTCGACTGTCGACGAAAGGAATCGCTTTTTAATCGCTTGAAATCCACATCAACCACGTGCCTAGCCTCAAGCACCCTCTCTGTTGTTATTTTTATCATCAAACTCCAAACGCACAATTTTTCAGAATCGTAGATTTAAACCTAACGATACGGAAAATTACGGAGTTTGCAATGGAATAATAGAATTTTCATCTTTTGAAATTGATACCTGCGAAGAAAGCTGCGTCGCAGAAGCAGAAATTTCACCGATATCGTCCACGTATCTATCGTTTCATATGCGATAGCCCAGCCACGCGCAAGTTTCGAACTGAGTAGCTTTAAACTGAGCTTGAGGCTTGGTACCGTATCGTCGCGCATCCTGCAAAAAATATCTCTTCCAATCTTCCTATCCGCGCGAACAAATCTCAGTTGGCGTTGATCTCGATCGTGGTCACCGAGTCTCCACGGCGCTCGTCCTCCGTCACGGAAGACGAAGGTGACACGGTGAAGCTCGCTAAGCCGCTCTCGACCAGGCTCATTAAGTTACTTTGACGAACCTTCGCCAGCTTTTCGATACGCGCTTTCTCTTCAATCTTCTTCTTCTCCGCCGCGCTCGCTGCCGCCCGGTTCCCGTTGCTCCTCGTGTTCTCCTGAACGAACTGCTCGAACTTCGACAGCTGTCTCTCCGTGACGCTCTCTGGGATCTCGTTCCCTTCTACTGGCACTCCGTGTTTGCTGATCGTGGGCTTGTAAGTCTTCACCTTCGAGTGGCCCTGAATGATGAGGTACATCGGGCCGCGGATAGGTTTCGCCGGTTGTTTGTAGTGCGAGAAGATAGGATCGGTGGTGAGACTCGGGACGGTGGTCACTCTCGGGGTCGTCGAATCCGCGGACGATATCTTTTTCCGGCTGTCTCGCTCTTTCTCTCGCTGCTCCTCCTCTTCCATCTCCATCTCCATTTCCACTTTCTCTCTCTCTTCACCGTCGTTCACTGGTGCCTCTTTTCCCGGAGCGTGCGTGTCGACCAACGACGAATTCTCGAGCAACGGCGAGGAGACGGTGGGCAAGAAAGGAGAAGAGGTGGGTATGGTAAAGATCGACGCGGTTGTGTCTGGCAAGCGAGATCGATGCCGATCGAAGTAGCGGTCCTCGGTGCCGATCAGAGTCGAAGTTTGCGAGTCGACGAACATAGGGGGGAAGTTCTGTAACTGCGGCGACGATGGACGAGCTGCTGCTGCTGCTGGCTGATCCACGATCGAAGGTCCCATGTGATCAATCGTCGATCTTACAGGCGGCGGTGGCGCGTGCATGTGCGTCATTGGCGGGAACATCGGCATCGAGACCGGAGCTCGGAAACCAACCGTCGGACGCATGCTACCGATTAGATGCATCGTGCCGTGGTTGGGCCTAGCCTGTGATGGGTGCATCATCGAGGAGAGAGGAGCTTGCGGCGGGCCGAACCCGAGGAAAGAATCGACAGGATGTTGCGAGGAGAACGGAGCGATCGTCGAGTGGTAGTGCATCGCGTGTTGCTGATGAGCCGATATCATTTTGTTCGGTAAGACGACCGTTGATTGAGAGCTCTCCGCGAAGATCGGCGAGCCTCGAACTGGCTGAAACTCGACTTTCGACGAGACATCGCTGGTGGAGTTCTCCGCGAGGCTGGTTGCGGCAGCGATGGTCTCTGACTTTGTCACCGAGCTCGGCGATGTGTGAGTCAACTTCTTATTTGTCGCCGAATAATTGCTCGGCATCACGACCGCCACCGGTCCTCTCTTCGCTTCGCTCGTCGCCTCGATGTCGAGACTGTGCGGTGAATTGGCGATGACGATGTGCATCTTCTCGGACGACCGACTCGTTGCCGATTCGTCGTCCGCGTCGTCGTTCTTATCCTCGTGAATTGAGTCGAACGTAGTGGTCGTCGTCATCGTGGTCGTGACAGGTGACACTGTGCTCGAGTCGATGTGCTTCTCCTTTTGACCGACGACCACCTCCTCGTTCTCGTTGCTGTCTCCGTCGACAATTATATTCGCGTTCTGCTCGACGACCACCTGGTGATTCGAAGACGCCGCCGCGACGTGGTGATCGACGTCGTATTGGTCGCGAGAGTGGTCGGTGGTCTGACGAGTCGACTGACCACCGGCGTCCGATATGACGGTCGACGTTGCCAACGAGCCACCAGCCGGCCAGCCGCCGGACAGAGTTTGCGTCGACTGGTAAATCAGATTGGACTTCTCGAATGAAACGGACGGTGTGGTCGCGCTGTCGTGTTTCATCTTCGTCGGCTGCGGTGCGTGCACGCTCTTGATTGTCTCCACTTGCGTGGAGACCGTTTGAACGGGGCTCTTGCTCGGTGAGAACTTGGACAATGTTTGAGACTGGTGTTTCCCTGGCTGCTGTTGATTGTAACCCTTCGGCGGAGACAGCGAACCGTATACCTGCGGGTCTTGAAGCACCAGTCCGTCCTCCGTTTGCGTGTTGTACTGCTGCTGATTGGTAGACTCGACGAAGCTGACGATCTTGTCCTTCTGTGTCAACGGCGGTGGCAGCATCATCGTGTACGGCTTCGCTTTTTGATTGTAAAACGGGCTCGGATAGTAGCTAGCCGGTATCGACTGGATTCTGTTTTGATTCCTGTAATCGATCGGCCCGTTCCTGAAGTTGCTCGTCCTCACGAGCTTCGGCGGCTCCGCGCCCGTGCTGCCGGTGAAGTCGCTCCTGTACGGGACATCCTGGTGATTCGATCTCGTGAACTTCGGCCCGTCGACGAACTTCAAGAACTGCTCCGGTATCTTCGGGCTGGTTTTCTTCGCGGTGACGCCCAGGACGAGGATGTCGCGTTTCGCGGACGGCTCGGTCGTGTGAGAGTCAAGCCAATATTGAACCCTGTCGAGCACAGGCGGCACGTAATCGAACGTCGGATTGTTCTTCAACGGATCGCCACGGCCAAGCGGTGTCCACTCGTCGTAATCCATTCTCGGCGAGAATACGCGCGGCTTGCTCTCGCTTTGACCTGCAAGCAAAACAGCTCTGTTCAATTCGAGGCGCTCGATTAGGTATTCTGATGATGAACGAAACGATAGAGACATTAGGACAAAACGCGATAGAAGTAATTTTAAATTTATTTTGCTTTCTCGTCCCTCCCTCAATGTGACAAAAATTCGATTTTCATTTTCCTCGTAGAATGTGTACAAAATGTGTAAGATCGTTCATTTTGAAATCTCGGCTGAGTTTATTGTTGGCTCGCTCAGAGCTAAACTTTTTTTTTAGTGCTGGTGGCAATTTCAAGCACAAATTTCAAAGTTGTTGAAACAGATGAATAGAATGGAAGACTCGGTGGTGGATGAAACGCGATAACGTTGCCAATTGCTCTCGTTCAAAGAAGAAAAACGATATCGATTATGCGGTAGCGCGGCAGGATGATTTCTCTTCTCTCATTTATGCTCGCAACGCAGGTTGATGCATTTTACATACAACCGCACTCGCTGGACGAGCATTAACATCCATTCGATGTATGCTACAAAGAGATACCGTAGAAATAGAAACTACGGCTGCAATGCGAGGAGAAAACGCGTAGCTCTCCAGAATTGAAATCGTTTTTAAATGGTCGTTGGATAAAAAGTATAGTCTCGCTTCCACTTGTGAATTTTAATGCACGTCCCGTCTGCGTCGATGAGGAAGAAACGAGTTGTTGTTAGCTGTTATGCTTCTACGAACCAGAAGGATCATCGATGTGAATTTTAATTTTCATTTGGATACAATATTTTTATTTGATAATTAAATAATTCAATTTTCATTTCAACATAATATTTTTATTTCACTTGTTACTTGTAATACTTGCGCAGAACGTCGCGTTCCAATCTAATTTGACGCAATTATTTTTAAAAAATTGTTCGAAGAAGCATCTCAAACGAAACTTGCTTGATTTCAAAGGGAAAGTAATTCGTTTGTGATTGATTCGTAGTAAAGAAAAAAAGAAAAATAAAGTCCATCTATGAGTGAATCAATTACTTCAAATTACTTTGCCTTCAAAATTGAATCGTTTTAAATAATATCTTTCCGAACGAGAAACAGTTACATTTATAATATTATAATTTTATAGAAAATGTAGAAAATATAGATAAAGATATAGAAAATATAAAAATATAAAATAGAAAATATAATAAAATATAAAATAGAAAGATACAGAAAATATAAAAATATAAAATATAAAATATAAAAATATAAAATATAAAATATAAAAATATAAAATATAAAATATAAAAATATAAAATATAAAGATATAAATGTAGATAAAGATATAGAAAATAAGACACTCTGCATATTGCTCATATAAAATTCTTTTGATATAAAAATATATAATCACAGAGGGCATAGTGAAAATTGTACAAAATAAAAATTGGCATATATGTAAAATCAACGAAACGGTTTAATTTTAAATGCGAGAAACAAGAGAGTAAGAAATTAACACTAAATTACTTCAGTTACAATTGGGCTAATTTAGTGGCGTCCAAATTTTCGCGAGTATTGTGAAACCGATACAAGACGACAGTTTCTTCAAGTGTACTTGAAAGAAGAGTCCAAGAGTTCATTAAATGAATTTGCTCATCTATAAATTCGGGTCAGAGTCTTCTAAAGAATCTTTAGACGAAAGTCTAAGCGACTAAAGTGAAACGAACGTTGATTAAGTTAAGACGAGAGTGTTGATGACTTTACAAACAAACACCGTGTCGTTTATATTCTTCTATTGTTCAAAGATTGTATATTGAGACACGATTTGGATTACCAAATTTGTAAGCGAACAGTCTCAACAGAAGAATTTGTATTGAATCCAAAGCAAGATTCTCTTTTGTTAAATCGTTGTTTTTCTTCTTTTTTTTTTCGCGTTACAGAGATAAAAATGGATTTTGCAAATGAAGTAGCTATACTCGTGTTACAGTATAGCTACTTTATAATTACTATTACTTACAATATGAGTGGTTGTAAATAATTTGTTGACAGTTACAGTATTAATGAAAACTGATGTTCAAAATAGAGTGAAGCGTAAAAATCTGACAATTATATCGTATAAGTGTTGTCAAATATTGTCAGTTGTTTCAATTCTATGAAGTTACACCCTTTACTTATCAATTTTTCTATACACTTAAGCCCGTTTGATATCATTTTATGAGCTTGATTTTGCAAGCTCTCGTGCAGCTTCCGTTTTCATCAAATAACGTCGAAATCAAAATGCTTCCAGTAGAAAAATTCTCTCTCCTTCTCGCTTCCATGATCACCGCGTGAGAAATCTACAGTCCGCGGTGGTAGAGCGGCCGATCAAACACGTCGCGGACAAAACTCGCGCGAAAGACATGTGTAAGTACACAACAGCGAAGTATAACCGTCTGTTTTCGCGAGGGCACCCTGCTTGACAACTGAGCAAAGATTCATTAAGGTTAAGTGCTTGCAGTCCGTGCCACCATCGAGACAAGAGGAACGAATCTCTTTCGCGTCCTAGATTTATTGTCACGAGCTTCGAACAGCGTACATCTCGATGGTTCTTCCATTTTCTGGAACTATATCCCGACGAACATTTTTCTCTTATTACCTCTTTGAAGATATCGCTGTTCGTGGCAAATTCGAACGAATGCCATGTTCTAGTTTAGCGGTACATTCGGACAAAATGTTGTTGTAAATAGAAGCGCAAGAGAGACTATCCGGAGAGAAAATAAATAATTGTTCGTTATGGCAAATTTTCAAGGTAGTGTTGGTTTTAATTTTTCAAGATGGTATTTATTTAATGAATACTAAAAATATTCGGGATTTCGTCTTAACGACACGCTGATTATATTTTCTAACGTTTCGTTCTATATTATTAACATATTATTAACGATTGAAGATGTACAATTGTTCACGAAGTTTGAACATTTACGAAAACTTTTCATGAATATATTATATCTTGTATTTTATACATGTTCTCAATTTTAATTCCAACTTAAAATAAATGCTACTTTAATTCAATCATCTAAGATTTTTAAATAGTACAATATCTTTCCTTCTAAATTTTACCCAACTCTCGATTTTAGCAAAAAAATGAATTTGTTTAATAGTAAATGATTCGAACGACAAACGAGTCTCGCTTAAACGTCATTCTTTTTCTTTCTCATCTTTGACCGTTCGAGAAGGATTATTTCAATAAAGCAACGTCCACCGAGGAGGAACATAAGTACCCACGTGTGTCGGGCGTGTATCGTCTAACAAACGAGCATACTCCATACATGTATACAAGCGTTTTCCTACGTTGCATGTGTATCGATACGCGTGAGTATTCTTTTAGCACCGAGTTGAGTGACCTACTGACCCGGCACACACGCTTAGGCACACAGAGGCATGTATATGTAAAATTTCTCGGCAATGGCAATACGTTTTTACTGGGTAGAACCTATGTTATCTATGAAGCGAGATATCGAATATTCTATCGATTGGCAGCAGAATTGATCAACGACAGTGTCGAAAATTAACCCTCACTTCAATTGTGTCAATTTAAGACACTTCTCTTGTAAAACTGTACTCTAGATTATACAGATGAGATTCTAGTCTATTTTTCTAACATGTTTTCTAGCATATTTTCTTTTTGACAGTTAATTAATAGCAAAGCTGTCAGAGTTACAAATAATGTTCGTTTTCAAGCCCCCCCGACTGACAGTATATTGTCTTTTAATTATTATAACACAATTGCGTGTGCATTCGATGCATCGGTTTTTTGGAAAATACGTGTATACAGACACATAGTTTTGCAGCATTTATAGCTGCAATGAGTGGAACGAAATGAGTTGGAGAAGATAAGATCACAATATTAAGATCACGATAATTAAAGTATAAAAACTTGTATTAGATAACTGAGGAACTTGCACTAAAGAATATAAGCTAGTATTTGCGAAAAAAATCATTAAAATCTCGAAAACAATTTATTGCAAAATTTCTATGAAAAATGAAGAACTGATTATTTTGTATATCTATGCGTGAGAGTGGAGTTTATGCGAATCTGATATGCAATTGAATAGAAACCTAGTCTGTTCATCGTTAATAAAACAATTTATGCAAATTTAATTGTATTTATCATTTCATTAATGATAATTTTTTATAAAAAAGAAATGTTCTACAGACAAATGTTCTCCTTCTGAAATCATTCAAACACTGCACCATTCGAAATCTTTTTGTTATCAAAAATAAAGGAGATATTAAGTAAAACATCTAGAGATTTATGTATTTAAGTAAAATATTCTAATGTCTATTCAACTGCCATTTATTCTGTACATCGTTCATATGGTGAAATTAGCTTCAAAATAATTTCGAAACAATTTTAACGGGGTACGACGTTTCTACAATATATACGTGGGTGAAATATCCGCAAAGGTTGTCGCAACGCGAAGCATTGATTGCACCTTGTTGCGTTTCGTTTTCGTTTTGCAAACGCGGAAGCCAAGAACTGCGTAATCTAACAATGAAGTCGTTCGAATTCAATTGTTCAACAATCGAAATCCTCAATTTGAATTCAACTGCTCTCTTTGACAGACTTTAGGATCGATTGAATGAACCGTTTAATATAAACCGTGACTCACAGTAATTCCAGAACACTTTACCAGAACAGAAAAATTTTTATGTATGCATTATATAAAATATTTTGAAAGTTTATTAACACTGTACATGAGTTGTTATGATTGTCTTGTTAGAAATTAGAATCTTATAAAGTCATTTATATAGAAGTTACGAGATATTGCAAATATACATTTATGTATAGCATAAATATTAATGTATAGCATAAATAATCATCTCGAACATATAGTGAAGACGGAACCATTGAATACTGAAGAATATTAACATAATATTCTTAATATATAATTCTTAAAGAATATTAATATAATATTCTTAAAGTATTAATATCGTTTTAAATATATCTCATAATTTATATATATATATATATATATATATATATATATATATAAATACCGAATGTATGGCACTTATAATATCTGACAAGTGAAACAAATCTCAGTTTAGGTTCTAGTTCTTTGATCTAATGCTCATAAAAATTCAAATTGATTAGAATTAAGATTCACATAGTACAATATTTTCATAAAAAATTCTTACAAAGTAAAAGAAAAAAATACGTAATAATGAGGACGTAAGTAAAAATTGTCTGACAACAACCGAGAAATGTTAAATAAAAGAAATTCTGTAGTCTGTTTTATCTAAATTATTGCGTTTCTGCACAACACAGACTGAAGATTAAACATTCTAAATATGCTATTAATAAGCGAAAAATTGCACTGCGGTTCGAATATTTACAAACTTCTGTAGCGTAGCTTCTAGTTAAAGTATATGGGTAAGGAAAAATGAAAGGAAGTTGAGGTATTAATCGATGACTTACCCGTCTTGTTTTCAAACGTTGAGGAAACACCTTGACAGGACGAACAATAAATCAGCCCCGCCAAGAATAACCATCTGCATAGTTGACTCGCCGATCCCTCTGGCATCTTCTGAAACAATCAAATTTTTAGTAAGCTAACGCATTATTAACGAGTTTCAGTCGTTTGACGCCAATCTAATGAAGAACATAACTGAATCGAAACTTTGAATCTGAATTTTCGACAATATTCAGGAAACATTTTCTGCGATTAATGCTAATTTAACCTTTAAAAGCAGTGTCGCTGAATTTGTAACATTCTGCATCGTTAATTCTAAGTGTCATCGTTAAAAAATTGTGCATTTAAGGGTCATTCATCATGGTCCTTCGCGACCGTTCCTTAAAATATGTTGCGAAATTGTTTTTTTTTTTTTTTTTTACAAAGTTGCAAGCATTCAAAATATCGACAACTTTTTCATGCAGTGCGTACAGATACTTTCCACGCTCGCAATTGAACACGATACAACGGCAATACTAATTCATATCTCCGTGTGAAAGACTACGTTTCCAAGAAACTTGAGTTTGTTCTGTCGATCGCTGTTTAAGCGATGAGTTATTAGTAAGTTCCGTAAAAGGGGACCGTAGATCAGGGAGTGGGCCAGAAAAGACGGTTGAAATGGTGAGGTGCGCGCACGTGCGCCTGCGCACGCGCAGTACTCGTACCCGTGGATTCGGATTCAAAAGCGCCGACGAACGCGTACGTAATACTTTCACCCGAGACACGTGCAAAACGTCGTAGTTAATGTCGAATTTTCGTCGACTTGGCCGAATCTACTGTCTGATCACTTCGTTTCTCGAATATAATCCACGCGAGCACCCTTTCTTTCGATCATCCTCGTGCACACGTACGTGTACACACTCGGCTAACCTCAAATTCTAAGGAGTCCCGTAGCAAGCACATTTGGTAACCTCGAGCGCCGACCGCGCGGTGAACGTTTGAAAAAAACGAAGGCAAGTAGGTCAGTCGAAGGGGTGTTTGTTAATGCACGGGTTTCGGAAAGGCTGTTGGTTTCCATCGTATTTGCACGTGCGATCGTGGTACTATATCGAAGCGGCGAAGGAGAGAGAGAGACACGTGGTAACGGTAGACAGTGCTCCAGGCGCCGAGATCCTCTCTCGTTCCTTCTCTTTCTCCTTTCTTTCTCTTCTCCCCCCCCCCCCCTTCCCTCTCCTGTCGCTGGAATAAGATTCGCAAAGGAGGAACGTGGCCAGCATGGACCAGCAAGCAAAGAATGCCGCCTTCTGCGATACCGCCTTCAGATTCGGCGTGATTCGACCTTGAACCTCCGATCGAACGTAACAAAGAACACGTCCATCTTGAAATTTTCCAATCGCGTTACGAAGAGAACGTACTTGCATGTTCAATCAATATTATGATCACATTCGTTGCATCGATTGCGATGGTGTCGTTTGCCAAGCATATATGTATATTATATATATATATATATATATATACTATAATTATAATATACATATATACTATATTATATTACAAATATAATATAGTATATATGTATATTATATTACAGTGTATTAATATAATATACATATATGTATATTATATTATCACTGAACCAATAACCATAGATTTTATATACAAATAGAATTCCAATAGATTTAATATCGCGAATGAAAGTTAACAAGAAACATTCATTGATCCATCGATTTGTCCAGTATGAATCCAATTGAAAAATAATATAGGCGAGAAGAACAAGAAAAACAGGCCCAAAATCCAAGAAGAGGTTGCAAACGAAATTAGAAGAAGCTTGGGTAGTATTATCAGGAGATGAAAAGTATGCTAATTGTTGGAAGATTCGATCGTTCTATAAGTCGATTCGCAACATCGACAGACCGTTGCAATTATTGCATAACTAATCATACGATTTTTCTACGGATATGTCGTAAGCACTCTCTCTCGATTACAACGTAACAGAAAACGAACATTTGTTTGATCGATTGCGAGTTACTTCTTGGTTATCGACAAAAATTACAATGTTGCGACATAAAATTTACAGGAATTGAAACAAACTTCATAAGGCAAAATTAAGAAGGAAACAGCGGGAACAGATTAATCTGTCGTTGAACTTCAATTCAACCTCGTCTCTTGTGCTTTTTGAACTTTTTGAAGATAAAATTATTCAAAAAAACGCACAAAGAATTTTCCACAATGATTCTCATAAATATATTACAGTCCAAAAATTTGGAGTATCTATTAATTTCACGTTTAAAAAAATACGCCCAAGAAAACACATGAATCCTGTGTCGTTCTAATCACAAATGACAAGTTTAACGCAAATTTATATAATATTTCGTGCAAATCAATTTTTTTTTTTTTTTTCATTCGATTTAATGTCACATTTCGAATCTTCATTCTGCTTTATGCAGAAGTGACACGAGATAAGTATAACTTCACAATGGCCTCGCACAAAAGCGATGTAACATTCTTTGATACTACAAAACTTTTACTCCATTCTTCACTATTACTTTTTTAACTATACCATTTTTGCGTTACGGTACCAAATATAACTTTTACAATGGCTCGCATAAAAGAGACGTACTCTTTGATATCATTGCAGTTTGCACGAGTTTCGTCTCATCCATTTTTTATTACTTTTGCAACTTATACCATTTTTACATTAAAATTCGAATATAACTCAAGTAGGAACAGTTTATAAATAAGTATTTCACTCGAAAAATCGAAGAAATATAATTTTATTCAAAATCGATAGAACGTTCCGACCTTTTAAATGGTAGATACACGTATGATGATACCAAATGAATCATAATTATTCACATTCTTTGATACTACAAAACTTTTACTCCGTTCTTCACTATTGCTTTTTTAACTATACCATTTTTGCGTTACGGTACCAAATATAACTTTTACAATGGCTCGCATAAAAGAGACGTACTCTTTGATATCATTGCAGTTTGCACGAGTTTCGTCTCATCCCTTTTTTATTACTTTTGCAACTTATACCATTTTTACATTAAAATTCGAATACAACTCAAGTAGGAACAGTTTATAAATAAGTATTTCACTCGAGAAATCGAAGAAATATTTTATTCAAAATCGATAGAACGCTTCGATCCTTTAAATGGTAGATACACGTATGATGATACCAAATGAATCATAATTACTCACAACGACCAAGATATTAGGACTACTCACAGTACTAATGTCTTTCGACTGAGACACCCTATATATATTTCACCGTGAATCGAAAACGCACAAAATTCTGGCCAAACACTGTCCCTAATTATTTCTTCCACGTGATTCATTCATTCTCGACCAAGCAAAAAAAAAAAAAAAAAAAAAAAAAAAGAAAGAAAACGCGCGAAAATCGAGAGAGGAAACGAGCAAACAATCAGATACCTGTGAACATTTGCAGATTCGTAATATCTGTACTATCGAGATACACGCGTATGTGTGTGCGAATAATACGAGCGAATTAAGCGGGCTGGTTATTTAAAGGAGAGGAGAAGGAAGGAAAGAAAAGGAAAGGCGCGCCGAGTCCGGGTGCAAGACAAGGTAGGATAAGAAAACCAGAAGAGAAGAGAAGGGCAGAATGAAAACCGGAGCGGGAAGAAACGTTGCGGCGCGAACGGCCCTGAGATCGAGGTTGGCTCGCGAGACAGCGTGGCCCCATGGTTTCACTTTATCTCTCTCCTGCGGACCACACAAGGTTACCTGGTGCGCGTGTGAACGCGTCTGTAAACGCGTCTGTAAAACTTCCCGTGATCCCCGCGCGTATATATCGGTGTAAACGTATCGCCGGCCGCACGATCCACACCGGCCCCGCCGTCCGTTCGAAGCTCCGCCACGATCCGGAAATTAATAATCGATCGTTTCGCCTTCGGGGAAACGAAATCTCCGCACCGATCGAACGAAAGTGGTCTTTCGATGTCAGCGATGTCGAAGTTGAGAAATTATCGAGGTTAATAGCCGGGCTGAGACAGCTCCGGCCGTGAGCAACGCGGGACGAGCAAGACGAGACGAAGTCAACGTGAAGCGAGGACAACAATTACGTACCCGTAATTGCGATCGATGGGAGTAAAGACGTCTGTCGTGTCTAAGATGGCAACGCTTTCGACGCTGTCGAAGCGGTGAAAGAGAACGAGAGGAGCCTCCGCCGACGAGAAAAACGTCGAACGAACGAGGAGAATAGAACGAAAAACAGCTGTTCTTTTCATCGTACGAAGAGACGAGACTTTTTTAACGAGACGCAGATCGGCAAGAGGGGCCGCGCGATGGGACCGCCGTGGCCCCAAAACGAAACCGGCCTATATTAGCTAAGAAGGCTGTGTATTACGTATGCAGGCCGTTCGGTCTTCGCTACCGCTCCTCCTTCTCTCGCGTGCGATGAAATTTTCATCGTGGCCGCGGCCTCTCCTTCTGTATACCTCCACGGGGATACTCATGCGAAACCGTGCCGAAACCGTGCTGTCCCACGAATCTTTTCCGAGCCGGCGGACGCCACTCGGCATAGCGCGAGTAATAAAGGTCCGCGAAAGAGCGAGAAAAAGTAGTCGGGGGGGCCTCGGACTCCCCCTTGCCCGCCGGGGGACATCAAGATAAGCCTTGACAGTTCGATCCGAGAAATCGATCGAACCCTTGTCGTTGCTTAACGTAACACCGAACTGCGCTTGTTACGCGTCAACGCAAAATCATCGTCGATGCAAACGTTAATTGGCGCATTTGTTTTTTATTTGCTTAAGTACGTGGACCGAGAGAATCTCTCTCTCTCTCTCTCTCTCTCACACATATACTTTTTTTTATATTTTATGGTAGGGAAAAATGTAAAAATTCAAATACTTCTTTTTTCAACCGAAGAATAATGAAACGAGCCATAAGCGAAATTCTTTTCAGTCAAGTTACATTGTCGGATTCTGTATTATTGATATCGCTGTCCTTACATCAATTTATCCTTGCCTATGTTCCAGAATTTTATGGAATTTCAAAAAATTGAAACATTTGTAATATTGTAATAGTAAATTGTCGACGATTTAATACCATGATTATCAAAGTGAAATCGAAATGACCAATTCGTCAGTTTTCGTAGGAATTTTACACGTTAATGAATTGCTGGGCCATTTTTAGTAAAATACGTGAATAGAAGCTGTTTATTGTAATTATAAATTTCCTTGCGTGTTCCCTGCGTACTTTCGTTTCGCTGCTGTAAATTTTAAATAAGTAAATGTCGAAATTAAAGCAACAGATTTATGCACACGTGTAAAAAATGAACATGTGCTCACATAGTACCGTTCTAAGGAATTCAATATGAAGATGGTATAAGAGAATAAAAAGACCAGAAGAACGTAGAATTAATTAGTGATTTGACTTCGACTTCGAAAACTATCAATCGATAAAACTTGTTAAAACTTTAAGAATTATTAACAGATGAAACTTGTTACTAGATCCGCCAATCGATTAAGAAAGTTTAAGAGAGATATCACTTGAAATTTAACATCGTTGAAAATTTAATAAATTCCATATGTAGAATCCAGAAATTACAGAAAGTAAGAGATTTAAGTGCTATAAATAGTATTTCTTTGCACTTCTTAATTTTAGTTTGACGGATGTGACATTCTACATTAATTTCAAACGAATTGAAAAATCGCCAAGAAAGTCTAATTTATCGCATGAAAAGTTCAGTCAACTTTATTTTCCGCGTCTTTATTCTTTCTTTTCTCCACATTTTCTCTACTTTTAACTACATATATTTAGGTTATAGGCTCGAATCACAAACGGAAGTTGCAACAAGCTTGGGCATCATTCGAATTTAAATAGTTAGAAAATGATTATTTCAGTGATACCATCATCTGATTCGACTCAACGTTATCAGTTTATTTAAATTTTTTTCTCCAAGTTATTTTGATTATTTATTATCAAATAAAGTAGTTTTTTTATTTAATTTTGCATTTCGTGTCTCTGTTTCTGTTTCAAATACCTTCCGGTTCTATTTCATATATTGTTATTTCGTCGTTCTGTTGTTCAATTTCGTTAACGAATTAACTCAGATAAAGGATCATTCTCGCAGGATTTATTCATTTTCTTTCCCGACGTTATTTTTCCAATAAATTAGTTGGAAATGATTTTTCTTTCAAACAAAATTTGCCAAGCCCCGAGAGAGAAGATGAAACGCAGAGAGAGAGAGAGAGAGAGAGAGAGAGAGAGAGAGAGAGAGAGAGAGAGAGAAAGAAAGAGAGAGGAAGAATCAGGAAAAGAAGTGTTAATACAGAGATTCTAAAAGAAGAAAGTATAGTAGTTCCGTATAATTCGTAAAGATTTTCTGTACTTCCGTTGGAATCGTGTCCCGAATAGGGGTCACGCGATTTACATGTGTTCGCTGCTTACATCGATGAGAATTTCTCCGGTTCTTTTCTAGGTGGTCTTCCACATGATTGGAGAAATAACGAAAGTTATGGGTTCCCGTGAGCGGCATCAATCCCATGAAATAAATTACGACAACGAGACGGAGACGCACGCTGCGTATTTTCTTTCCTTCTCAAGCGTATTCCTCTCAAGCGAATTCTCTGCTTGCAATCATGATTTAGGTCGTCAAAAGTATGGTCATAGTTGCACGTTATTTAAAAAAAAAAAGAAAAAGAAAGAAATACATCTATTGGATTTTTGTCGAGTCCCACTTTTCGCTACCTTCGACGATTATTTATTTAATTAACTCATTAAACGTGACCAACGTTACACAAATGCAACATTTCATCTGCCATTCTTTTCAATAAAGTTTACACCAAGCTCGGGCATTATTTAAGTAAGCTGTTCGAGAAACAATCACTATATCATGTAAATAAAATATAAATAATGAGCCACGTAATATATGCATATAAAAATTCGAGAGTTCAAAAGAATATTGACACATCTGAACCCTCATTGTTTCATTTACGCTTAATCGCAGATTGTTATCAAAAAAGTTATAAAATATCCTTTTACAAGTTCTGAAATATTATCGAATGTTATCACGCTTGTCAGAACTATTATGTAAGTATCGTGTTCAAATGCATGGTACAGTTACAGTGAGAAATCATATTCATAAATGATTAAAATCGAATTCAATAGAATTAAGAATTATTTATATATTGTATAATATAAAATATTAATAACTAATTTTCTTCTTTGTACTGTTTTATGAATCCTTGAGAAAGCGAATTATTATAAATTGCTTTCTGCTTAATCCTTAATAAATTAAAATGTATAAAACTTGTTTGATCAAATTCGTGGCGGCTCGATCGAATGATAAATAATAATTTACGAGCCTATCGATCGTACTGAGGAGAATTTTTCGAATCGTATTCCTCTAACTTGTTAGATACTCATCGAAAGTTTTTTATCGCGAGAGAAAGAAGATGTAACAAGGTAGGAAGTGTGAAATGAGCGCTGCAAATCCATTGTTAGTGAAACATCGAATCTTTCCTGCCTCTGGCTTTCTCTACCTTTGTCTATCGAGACGAATATTTTATTCAATTTTGATAAAATAATGCACGTGAAAAAATCAATATTGATGTTAATAATTTATTATATAGCATTAATAGTATATAGTATAATATAAATATTAATAATTAATATTTCTGGTTTCTCAATATAGTTTTTAAAAATTTTAAATTGAAAATATTTTTTGCAATATAAATGGTCACATTATAAAGCAATACGAGTACGTCAACAACAAAAGAATATGTGATCATTCTCGTTTCTTATTTTTCGTTTAAATGTGCTTACAGAAGATTTGTGGAAGATACCAATGAGACACAGCTTGAGACTTTCACGTTATATAAAATTGCATGCGATACAGAAATTGAACACATTTCGTTTGAAACAAAGATAAAGAATAACAATTTCTACTTCTGCTAATTTATTATTTTCATTCGAAGAAAGTACGATTAACCACATTTTTTTTTTTTCAACTGTATAGTAATAATAAAATATCACGATGATTTGCTTACGATTCTTACTTTTTATCACCGTAAAGAAATATTACACGAAAGTTAAATTAACTTGTTATTTCCACAGTAAATTCATTTTTCGTAATTTTGGGACTACGCCGCTCAATCAAAGAACACCGAATTGGCACCAATAAACAAAACACGTTTCCCAACCCCTAAGCGAAACTTTATCCAATAAATAATAATTTCCATGATCGCGAGATTCGCTCGTTTCCAGTTCTCTCCATATGGTTTCACGGTGCCGTTTATTGGAAAATCTGTTCCTCTAAATTAACCATCGTGCAATCTCCAACAGTCACTCTATGGCGAGCGTACGAACACTTTCGCGAGCCGATGTGCAATATTCATCGTCGACCGAGAGAGGACAGGAATGACAAGAACATTGAGAACGGAAGAATGAATTCGTAGCGAGTAGAAACTGAAGGAAGGACGAACAGCATTCTGCAAAGCGAGCACGCTGCTACACACAGATAGAAGAAACTTTGGCACTCTTCCTGAATGCCGGATGAAAGACACAGATGTAATTTCGCGCGCGCGGACAGTCCAATCGAGGATTGGATAGCCAAGTACGGTATTGCGGAATAGAGGAAAAAAGATGGCGACCTAGTTCGAATAGTTTCTATATGTGTTATCCGTGAATGTCGTTTAGGCTGATTCGCTGATTTCTAGAGCTGATTTTAGTAAAATGCTTGCCAAGTCCGTGTCACGGTTCCCACCGCGATTCGCAGCCCACTCTTGTGTATTGGCCGCCCTTCGCGGATGACGCCCTAATGTTGCTAAATTCCGACCTTCCGATCATTTTCATTTATTCAAATGATATTAATAACATTAATTAGCTGGGTTACCTATGGCCGATATTTGATATTTCTGACGAAATAGTAATGAAAATCATTTTATCTCGAATAAAAGTGAAATAAAATTGTCACAAGTGAAATAAAATCGTTTATATATATATATATTATATATGTTAAATGCAAACAATTATGTTATATAACGTTATATCATATAAACGTAATCAACACGTGACAATTTTATTTCACTTTATTCGAGATAAAATTATATATATATAATATAATATATATAATATATATAAAATTATATATATATAATATAATATATAATATATACAAAATTATATATATATATATATAAAATTTCTTTTAAATTCGTTCGAAAATGGTATAAATTATCATAACATGTAAAGTCATCGAAAATTTATTTTCACGACTGAATCCGCTATGGATTTGAAGATTGAATCCTCCCCTTTACAACGATTCCTCAAAACTGACTGTACGATTTTTTCAATCAACTTTATCGAACTTTGAACGTAACCACGAAAATCTTACGATTTTTTGAATTTTCGTCATCTGAGTTTAATGTTCAAAGTTCAGTAAAATCACGAAAGGAGATCAAATTTTCGAGGGTTTTGTAAAGGGGAGGCTTCAATCTTTAAATCCATTGTAGACTCATCCATTGAGAAGACAATTTTTCAATGATAAATACTATGATAATCTATAACATTTTCGAGAAGAAACGTATCTTCACTTTGTCACCTGCTACATAGTGTAGAAACATTTTAGAATAAAATGAACGACACATTTTGGAAGTAGAGGCTCCAAGCTTTGAAATGAACCCAGATTGATTGTCGTACCATTTATTTTTTTACGAAATTATAACAGAATTATTAGAATTAATAGAACTAAAGAAATTTCCATCTGTTCGCAATATTTAACGCGATTCGCAAAAGAAAAAAAAAAACCGAATCTCGCAGTTAACACATAAAGTCTTTGCCAAATATTTCAAATATTTTAAAAAATTTCCTCCCATAACCTCTGAGCAATCTCGCAATTTAAATAAAAAAAAAAAAAAAACAAATTTTAATCTCATAAAATTTGAAGTTTCAATTCTTTCCACTAAAGGTTAATAAATAAACATTATATACATACGACGTTCCAGTACTTTATGTCCAATTACAATAATAATAAATTACAATAATCAATGCTTACTTAAAAAAGGTTGAGAAGATAACCATGAAGCAACGAGTTAATAACATCTTTAATATTCCGTATTAAAAACTGACTGAAAATAGTTGCGTTAACGCGAGGCTCGTTAATCAATGGGTTGGACGATCGAAAGCTTTGCTTTGCGTGCCGAATTTTGTGGAATCAATAGGGGCTCGTAAATCGAATCGAAGCAAGATTAAAAGATGCACGAGCAAACGAAACCACGGGGTTCGATGCTCTGCGAGCGTTTCGACCTGGACATCCGACAATTGAAATTCCGCGAGGACTACGCGGATAATGTTGGCATGTTCTTCGAATTCGTGACAGTTATACTTGCATAAATTGCGTACGTCAGTCGTCTGTCTCCTTTCGCTGTTAAACGTCTTCGCTTCAGAAAAATTGGCAACACGAATGGAATCATAGAATCGTGTGAAAGTTAAAACACTATTTATCTGTAGTTAAGACTAAAAATACACGTAATTTAATCAAAATTCCAGGTTATTCGAAGATTATTATATAAACGTCATTAATTTCTGATATTAAAAAATATTGATTTCTGACATTAAACGAAACATTAAACGAAATACTACGTGTGTATTTTCTGTAAATTATTCGTTACTGATGCTCGCCCTTTCAAATAAAACAGTTTTTAATGATATTTATATTTATATTTCATTTCATGTTGCATTTGTTCCTGATTCTATTACACAAACTCTATTTTCTGCTAACAATAAGATTTGCCCTTTCATTTCATTTGAACTAACTCAAAATTTACTAAACTCATTTGCAATTCTTTGATCTGATTATTTCTCTTGTCTCTGACATGAATTTCTAATTAATGGCTAACATTAGCGTGAAGTAGATTGATTTTAGTCCAGCACGTACAAATTATATACACATGCCTCGCATTAGACAGCACTATATTCTTCCGAAAAAAGGTTTTAATATCAAATATAATAATAACAAAACATATAATAATATATAATGATAATAAAACATCAAGTATTACACAACCGTATTATTTGCCAATAAAGACAATAATTTAACCCTCAAGTGGATTAAGAGCGTTATGATTCTGTCCAATTAATAACTATATCACATATTAATATAATTAATATAACAATTATATAACATGTGAATTTTATATATAATTTATATATAATTTTCTTTCATATATAATTATATGTAATTATTATAATTTTAACACATGAAATTTTACTTGCTTATATTTACAAACTTGGCGTGAATTAAACTAATTAAACTGAAAGTCCATTTAATGTAATCGTATCTTTTAATATAAGTATCTCTCTTTTTTTACTCGCACGCCGGACAGTATATGCATATATTCATATTTTTATATTCGGAATACCGCTTCGTTGATTTCTCGCGTAATCAAACGCATCGTGCAAACAACAGCGAGGAAAAAATGAAATGAGAGAGAAAAAAAACTTACCGCGGCTGCAGTAAATCCCTCTTCTTCAGCAATCCCTTCTCTTTGGAAACGATAGCTGTAAATCTATCGGGGGAAATCCTAAACGAAAACTAACGACGCCCTCTCGTTCACGGGCATAGTTTGTCTCTTCCGGTACCCTCTTTCGTTTCGATTTCTCACGTCCTCCCTCTCTCCCTCTCTCTCTCTCTCTCTCTCTGTCTTATCACCGAACAATGATCGAAAACCGGCGACGATTAATTACGATTTAGGATCCCTGAAACTAGGTTCCAAGACAGAAAAGTACGGTTTCAAGAATATTCTTCGTAAAAATATAGAAATGGTCACGTTGTCGCGAACGAACTCTATAAAATCGACCGATCGATCGTCGGGGTGTGCGTGCGCGTGTACGCGTGTGTGTATCGCTGCGTGTGCGTGCGTCTATCTGACACACACACCGACAGATACCGAAAAAGTCGCTGAACGTAACGAAGACAAACCGAGTTCGAATTTGCTTGGCGAAAGCTCCGATTCGTACGAAGTGCAGTGAAGAACTGAGCGAAGTGCCGGCCGGTCGAGCAGCCAGGCGGGCTTTTCCAACCGGCTTAACCAATCGCGACTTCTCTCTTATCCCACGTGTCTCTTTCTCTCTATCCATCTCTTTCTCCTTTCCATCACCCTCTCTCACCACCGATCTTCCACTCATCAGCAGAGTTATCGCCGCTGTCGATGTTGTTACAGCTACTTACATCCCCTCGTGATCGTGCATCCCCCTCGGGTGCGGTGCAATCACACGCTCCCACCCACCGAAACATCCGTCAGATTCTCGCTATTGAACTTCCCTCGGATTCAAATTAATTCAGCAATTTCCCCCTACCGATCGTTGCTTTATCCTCCAGCATCAACGAGACGCGTGTCGTTTCGATTCTAGAAGAGAACAGGAAGGAGATATCGGTCGTCGATCTCGCCGAGGAGAAAATCGACGAGAAGATTTCGAGCGAGTCGTGTTTACGACGATGATTGAAACAGAGAACGCAGCGTGCAGAAATATTATCAAAGGAAAGCCGAGCATTTAACGCGTATTCTATTCTCGCCGGAGTTTCTTCGAAGACGTGCCACATTGACAAATACGCGCGCACGACTCGACGCAGTGTAGCCTCGTTTGCCGTTAATGGGCAAGATATGTTTTCGAATCTAAAACTTCATCGGGGAACTTCCAGCGCGGAATATCTGGCGATCTGGACGATCTGTCGCTCTTTCGGTTCGAGAAAACTTGCGCACGATTCAAACTTAATGCGATTTAAATTCATGCGCTCCTGGACTGTCGACGAAGCTGGCTGCTCCTGAAACAGAATTTTAAAAACAATATTCGCAACTTCATTTTTCTCTCTCTCGAGGGATGAAAAGTGGGATGGGAATTCGCGAAACGCGACTTAGAAATTGGCGAATAAATTGGGAAGTGAAGCTCGATAAAAAAAGAGAAAAGAGGACAGAGCTTGAATCGGATCTATTTGGTTTGTACGGCAAACTGAGTCGAACAAAACGTGATCGAGGCCTTACTTTCGAAGTTGTCTGCAGAGCGTGTGTACGGCCGATCGGGCTGCATGTGCTTCGATCGCTTTCCTAACGACGAGACATGCTTTTACCAACGATGATGGTTTTATATGCGCGTGACGTACCGTTTTCATTGTCGCGTTACTGAACTATCGGGATTGTTAACGACCAAACATACTCCGCGTACGTGTACGGATACGTACACAAAGAAGTCGCGATCATTGGCTTCCACAGTGTAAAGAACGAAATATTATCAAAATCACAAATGTTCGCTTCCCCGTGTAAAAGGGAGGGAACACAGAGAAAGAAAAAAAATTGCAAGTAATTTATTTCTTTCGAAATAAAGTTCGTTTTCATTTTGCGCCGTACATGTTACATGTTACGAAATCTAGAACGAAAGTTAAATATTTCGTTTTAAGATATTCAGCGCAATTAACATACTAAATATTCTTAAATAACTTTCTCTCGGATACGTGCTAGTGTATATACCATACGTTGACAAATGTATACCAACGTTCTATTTATATTTAACAGAAAAATCTGTCTATATCTCTGATGCTGATAGAAAAATCTGCACAAATCTCTAACGCTACTCTCCGAGGTTGGCGCATCGTACTTATTCTCGTTCTGACAATACACGATTTACTTTCTTACTATTAGTCAGCTTAATTCCTGACTTTTATTAGATTTCGGCTTTCCTGGGAAGGAAAAACCGAGTCGTTAACATAGTCGTTAGACGTCAGACGTAATATACGGAGGAACGCGTTCGAGAACCGGAAGTATAAAGTATACCGCGGCATCGAGTCGATTTTACTTTCACAGAATCGTATTATGTATTCCGATGCTGCGGCTCATCGTTGAATCAATTACTTTCATAGAACTCGGCCTATAATTAATCGATTCTACTATATAAAGACTCTGAATTTATGCGCGCAGCATCGATATTTTCTTTTTACATACTTTCTTCATTCTTGCATAAAAGGAAGAAAGTTACATTACAAGTATATTAAATACATATAACGAGAACAAATGTGTATACGTAATAAATATATAACATGTTTTTAAACATAACAATAGGAAACGGTTTTCAATTTTGTGATAATTTTATCAAAATGTGATAATTTTATAAATCGATAAATAAATTTACGAGTTTAAGATATAATTGAAGATTAACATCAGGAATGAAATTTCTTTCCACGGAACAACGAATGAATTAGGATAAATTTTTCTGCGTGGACAAACGTGAAACACGAAAGATAACGTAAAAATTGTACATCCTTTTTGCAGGTAGGAATTGTTAGCTTTTAAAGTGCTCGACCGCACCTCCGATGGATTCTTTTACATGTTCATTGCACTTTCTCCGTTCATTTGTTTTCCAAAAACGTACGACCGCGCTTATCGACATACTTTCAAAGGAATCCAAATCGACTTTGTGAAACATTTTCATCCCAGATGTATCTGTCAAATTATATATATAATAACAATAATAATAAAAATTGCAATCTATATTCCTACGTTCTGGCGGAGAGGAAAGCTAAGTAAGAATTGATTGTAACAGAAGCGAGTGAAACATCTTTTCATATATGCATGATTTATTAATACATCGAAACAATATATGTTAAAAAAATATTCATAGAAACGCACCTGTGGATCTCTTGTACAACTTTCAAAATAAATTTTATTTTATTTGTTACAGTTATAGATAAAATAAAGTTACGTCATAATTGCGATATGATATATTGTGAAAATATTTTACTTTCAGTTATGTTTAATTTTACTGATATTCTCTTATACTAACTCTCGAAGCGTCACCGAGTTTCGAAAAATATTATATAAACCCAAATGATTTGTATTAACAGATGTATATAGTTATGGCATAAAAATAGTGATGGCATAATTTTCATAAATTAAAAGTTTCTCAATAGAAATGGTAGAATTTACCTGGAGACAATGTTGTGTTTTCATTGTATATGAACAACAATTATCAGATGAAAATAATAGCAGGTACATTAGAAAAATCTTGATTGTTCTCAGGCACAATGTCAAATCTTGTTAAATTTCTTTACAATTGAATAGTAAAATATCATTATACAAAACGCATCTAATAAAATAATAAAATTAATTAATAATAATTAATAATAAAACTAATTAAATAGTTCTTCTTGAATACAGACTATTTGTAACAAAAATTAATAAATAACAATGCATATTACATTGTAAAAAAAATAAATAAAGTACGAGTAATGTCAACTTAAATGCAAAAATTTACCACAAATGTAAAACAGATTCTATTTTATAACAAATAGATAAAATACTTCCGTTATAAACAGCCGCAGATCTGTGCCAATTTTTAACCAGGACATCAATATTATTATAAACTAGATGCCTCTATAGTAGGAATATTAAATAGACCATTATCTTTCCAATAATAAGTAGGAGGGCCACTGGTAAAGCAATATTTCATGGCCAGTGGTTCGTCATTTTCAACATAATACATCAAATAAAAGTTACACATTTCATCAGATTTCGTAGCACCAATAAGTGTCCAACTGTCACGTGTACTATGCATAGTACAGCGAGCTGCTATTTGATCACCCTGACTAACAGTAACTTTATTATGTACAGGATAAAACATTTGTGGTGTCAAAGGATCTCTTTTGCCTAATTCTATCCAAGTGTAATCTGGTTTTACCAAATATCCAGAAACTACTTTCCCAAGTGAATGAGTATGCGTCCTATACGCAATAGGATGAATAGTTTTGTTCTCTTTTATCGTGCAAGCTGTTTCCATGTATGTTGTACTGTGAGATGGTATAACACCTGAAGTTCCCAGAAGTAGAACACCAGCTAATTTATTTAACGGACGTAATGTATAATACAGAAATACACCAGAATCATCGGTTCTACCATCTTGAAATTTTGCAACATGCGCATAATGAACTTGAAGAACCAAATATTTAATTGGCGAGTCCCCGCCAACTTTGAAACCTACTCCTTCTGGCAAAATTAATGTTGGAGCATCTCTAGCCCAAGCATACAATATCTATGTAAAATGATAGTATAATTAAATATTTATCAATATCTTCCTTGTAACCTTTAAATTATTCTTTTACATTACTTCATTGCACATACATACCTGGGAATTTTCTGCACAAGGAACTTCATTATCATTTATACCATGTATCATTTCTCCACAGTCCCATACAGGTTTTGAGCTACCAGGCTTCCCACAACCATATAAAAGTATATGATGAGCACTTGCCATTGTTGCATTTGGTTCAAAACTGATCAAATAGTAGTTTCGAGAAGGATCCACTCTAACAGGTGTACATAAATACAATTCCTCCTGCAAATGAAGAGAATATATTATCACTTAATTTTTTACATTGCTCCTATATTATTTGTTTAACATAAATGAAGAATTACGTTAAAATATTAAAACAAAACGGACGTCAATCACAACGTTTTCAAACGCATATAATATGTCAAAATATAAATTATGCGAGAATAGTTTATCTCAATATTTTTCAATAGTTACTTACTCTATTTGGTCTAACATTTGGCATAAGTAACGAGTACTTATTTATACTGTTACACCGTATAAATTTAAATAAAATTACAAATAAAACGTAAATCGTGATGTTTTTCCACATTTTTTTCTAAACTGTATTTTGAAAAATTCACATCGACTCGTGAAATGTCACCAATCGATACACAGTCCACGTACAGATAATCTCTGACGGAGAGTAAGCATTTGCAAACGCCATCTATTAAGGATACATCAATTTATTGCATATAAAATTTGTTCAATAGAAATACACATTTTACAAAACGACAATGTAATTAAATAATAATTATTACTATCAGTGTGTAAAATATGGTGCAAGTACGAAATATTTATCATTTATTATTGGACGGATTCATTGTAGACTAGAGTCACGTGAGCACGTGATATTCATTCATCACAATTTGAATTTCATTCACGAAGTGACTGAAATTCGAAACGAAATACTTAAAGATCTAGATTTAAATGGGTCACCATGTAATCGCTTATTTTAATTTCGTCTGGCTAACTTTCATGAGCATTCTTGCATCCGATATAATAAACTTATTTTTATCTTTTATTAATATATATGTCGCGAATTTGATCCGTAAGCCATTCTATGCCTAATTGTAAACCTTCTCCAGTAATCGCGTTCGTTGCTCGTATATGCCAAGGTTTATTCTGTATGCGATCAAGGCCAAGTCCAGCAACAAGTTTGACAGTAGTTAAGGAATCGGGCAGGTCCATTTTATTTGCCAGAAAGAGAATTGGTATTTTACGACCTACAATGTACAATAAAGTTTAGTAGGAGAAACGTAATCTAATATTCAATGAGAACAAATAAGGAAATAATATATACCGGCTATATCTGGATGTTGAAGAAGCATATCTAATTCTTCTTTAACAACGACCAATCGTAGTTTGTCGCTGCTATCAATAATAAAGATAATACCATGACAATCTTTGTAATAATGTTCCCATAGCGGTCTATGTCGATCATGTCCTGACATATCAAATGCCGTGAAATTAACGTTTTTAACTGAAAAACACGTATTAAAATGTTTCATTAGTATTTAACAATGTGATTATGAAATATAATATAAAATAATGAGGTAAAATTTATTTACATGAAACGCAAATGCATGTGTGAAATTTAACAAGTACATGTATATATCCAAAAAATACATGTTTCTTGTATTGACTCTCATTTTATGAAGCGCCATCTGCTTCTTCACTATTATTATTCGAACAAATGAGAACCACTGAGTGTAAATATGTATAACGAACGTATATATTGGTAAGATTTTACTTTGTAGCGGTCAATAAATAAATTGCTCAAAAATATGAATGTATCTAATATGTTAAAAAATGTTATTAATGACGAAAAGAACTCTAAAAAGAAAAAAAGTAAAGTAAATTAAATATACGTTTACAAAGATCTAATCTTATGATACTTGTGATAAAGGTGTAATGTGATTATTCAGTTTCAGGCTCTATAAACGAAGAAAAAGACAGATTAAAGAAACAAATAAATCAGTTGAAATCTATAATTTTGCAAATAGAATGGAGTTTGGATATATCAAAATTTAAGAACAGTAAATGTATCATTCCACCAAGCAGTATTAGTAGTCTGAGAACTGATGATATTCAAGATATTAATTTACAATTACAATCTGAATTATATAGATATTCCGGGTTTTATTGTGTTAAGTTCACAAAGCAAGAATATATATTTAATTTTTCATGTTCAAATAAATATGACAAAGATAATATTTTTGCTATACAAATTTTCAATGACCAAAACAAAGGAGTTTTGGGAAAATGGGTGATGCCAATGGCTATTGATTTAAAGGATATGATAGCTGATTTTCCCATCCATAAATTAAAAAATATACCATGTTTGTTAAAAATTTGTAAACAACATGTAGACTCTTATTTCATACGACACGAACAATATGCAACATTGATGGTACATATGCCTTTTAAATTTATTGTTCTACTTAATGTGAAAACAAAATATTAAGTATTTATTTTTATTTTTAGCGTAGCATTTCTAATATAAAAAATTGTAAGTTACAAACCAATTTAGGATGTACACAAATCAATTTAGAACTGATAGGGGTATATAATAAAAATACAGATTCATATATGACCATAATTATATATCTCCTATATAAGATTAATGAAGCTAGACCATACAAAATTGAGGTAGATTCAGTAATAGAAGAAGAATTAGATAAAAAGACTAAAAAACATCTGCGATCATCCTTAGCCTGTTTTAAACAATTTGATTTGCACACAGCATTTGAGAAGATGTTAAACAAAGGAGAATTTACATGGATAAAAGAAGATAATGAAGAGAGTCTATTAGATGTTAATGTATGTAAAATTCTTAATTTTTTTAAGCAAATATCATTATATTCAATCAGTATATTTAACTAACAACATTGTTTATATTTTTAGCCTTCAGATAATTCAGATCAAGAGGGATTTTTAGATAGTTTCACATTACCACAAAAAAGATCTTTAAGACTTGAAAAGAAAAAACAACAAATGAGAAAAAGAAAAAAAATATCAGGAAAAGAAAACTTAATTAACATTTCAAATGAATCTGATAAAAATCCTATTTCTTCTGAAAATGAAGAGCAAGAATCAAGAAAAAAAAGAAAAATAACAAAGAAAGAAAAATTTATTAATATCTCAAGTAAAACTCATAAAAAATCTTTTGAAAATAAAAAGCTGAAATTGAAAAAAAAATGGAAAATCTTAGGGGGAAAAAAATTCATTAACAGTTCAGATACAAACAAAACTGACAAAAATTCTATTTCTCTACAAAATAAAGAGTTGGAATTGAAAAATATTAAACAATCTACGAGACAACAAAATGTCAGTAGTACTAAATCTATACCAAATAATTTAAAACAAAAGAAATTAAAACAAACAAAACTGAAATTTGAAACAAGTCATTCAGAATTACAGAATAGTAGTAATACTACATCCTCTGATGCGACAGTCTTTAAAAATAAACAGATAAACAAACTAAATAAACCATTTACTAGTACTCCAATACGTCGAAGTAAATATCATCCTCCCAATTTCAATGCATCAATTAATACGGATATTAGTAATATTACAATAAGCAACAATAATGTAGAACTTAAGAAATTAATGCGAAACAAAATGAGTAGAAGAATAAAGTCTTTGGCTGAAACAACATTACGGAGATCAAAACGAATTAGCACTATAACAGAAGTAAAAAAATTTAAGTATTCCATATAATGTAAAATATCCAACGAATTTCTTATTTTAAAGTTTAATGTACCAAATGTTTTTTTATACCATTTATATGTACATATAGATATAATACAAACTGTTCAAAAGTAAATATTACTTCAAATGTAATATATGTTTCCTTTTATAACATTAACAGCAATTAGTGCTCGGACAGATCAGCAAGTGCAAATAATGAATTAGAAATATGACTTTAAGCACGTCAATTCAACATCGAATGTCGTTCACTCGTTATTATTTAACTTACATGAAAATTTTTCAACATTATACCCAACAGTGGGCACTATGTCTATGCAACGGTCATCCTCGCGTTTGAAATTATTTATGACCGTCGACTTACCACTATTGTTAAGGCCCACTACTAAAACGTTTACTTCTTTTTTCCTAAGACCTAAAAGATTCGCTAAACGATCAAATAGCCCCATTCTTTGTGTTCTCTTGAAGGTTTGTTACGTATTTATCGAATATCAATAGTCAACGCTATAACAACAGTTAGGAAGAAAGTGAGACTCAAAAAAGAAATATAGTGTGCTATTTATTTTATATCGTTTATTAATATAAACAGCATACTTTCTTTATAATCTTGATATTTTAAATAGAGAAATGTATAAAAATTGCAATTTCTAATTTAGCGATTATTATGTACATAGTTTCACATCTTAAATGCATTTCTAGTTTAGTGTTTGAGAACTACTGGCAAATCGCATATTTTAGGATTGTATGAAAATATTATCAGAAAAGTGATTAGAAAAATATCCATTTTAAATAAACGTTCTTTAATCAATCCGTTTTTAAGTTTTTGAAACCTCTGAATTAAACAATACTTCAAAAATGGTGAGTTAGAACATCAATGTACATATACACGTATTTGGGTGTTAGGTTATGCATATGCATTTCATCGTTTATAATTTTATCATATATAATTTTATAATCGTTTATTATTTTTCGCCGAAGGGAAAAACCAAGAAATTTATTGACAGAAAGAATTCAGTAACATTTCATCTAGTTCATCGGTCACAAAAAGATCCGTTGATCGCTGATGAGAGAGCACCAGAACGTGTGCTTGTACCTGTTGAACACGCACAAGCCTCTAAAAAGAAGTTGGACGATGATAAGCGTAAAGAGGAGCAACGAAAATATGGCATATATTTTGACGATGATTATGATTACTTGAAACATCTTAGAGATGTTAATTCACTAACAGTTGAATGGGAACGCATAGATGCTTGTACAAGTTCAAAGTCAAATGACCAAACAAACGCACCTAAAATTAATTTACCATCTTCTGTATTTGCTTCAAATGTAGAGGAAAAAGTTGGTCTTTTAAACAAAGCAGCCCCAGTTTCGGGGTTGCAGTTAGATTTAGATCCAGATATAGTTGCTGCCATGGATGATGATTTTGACTATGACAATTCAGAGAATGAATTAGAGGATAATTTTATGGAATTAGCTAATGCACCCATTAGCGACAATGAAATTTTACCAGAAAAATATGGTACGTATCTACAAGATCACATTATGCTTGCGAGATAATTATATCTGAAGAATATCATTTAAATGAATCAGGTCAAGCATCTGATGTTTCATCAGAGTTTGAGTTATCCGATGAAGAACAAGACGAAGTATGCAGTTTAGGTGAACATATCTTCTGGGAGGAAGAAACAAAATCCCGTTTTACAGAATATTCAATGAGTAGTAGTGTAATCAGAAGAAATGAGCAACTTACCCTTCTTGATGATAAATTTGAAAAAGTAAGTATTTATCAACAAGATGTACATTCTACTTGATAAACACGTATTGTTATTTTTACAGATGTATGCAGCATATGATGAAGATGAAATTGGAGCATTAGATTGTGATGAAATTGAAGGACATATTGAACCTAACTCAGATTTAGTTCTTCAATGTGCAGCAGAATTTGAAAAACAGCAAAATGAAAATGTAAGTTAACAATAATTGCATTTGATATCAAGAGAATTAAACACATTTTTATTCCTTTTCCAGACTGATAACTTTACACAGTTGATGAAAGACAGAATGAAAATTTTAGATAAAGAGTATTCTAGTTCTGAGGATGAAGGTAGTTTAGAAGAACTTGTAGTTGACGCAAGAGAAAAAGATAAATGGGATTGTGAAAGTATTATTAGTACATACAGTAATATTTACAATCATCCGAAATTAATTTCTGAACCCAAGGTATGTTCTTTAGGATTCATCAATCGTTACATGAAACTGCAATTGTGTAAATTCTCTTGTAGCATCCACAAAAGATCAAAATCAATGCAAGGACAGGTATACCAAAAAATGTTTTGGATGAATATTCTGGAAAATTGACGATTAAAGCATTAGCTCAGTTTGAACAACAAAATACAAATTGTAGGCCAGGGTATTCTCAGTCTATTGCAGAGACTATGAAATCTACCTTAAGTACATTAAGTATAAGGCCTAAAAATGAAACTAGTGAAGAAAGAAAACAAAGGAAAAAAGCACTTAAGGAATACAGAAAAGTAAAATTATCACGTTAATTTTGTATATACATAATAAGCTAAAATTATACAATACAAATAAAAAATTATTTGTTGTTTTAGGAAAGACGGAGAGAACGAAAAGCAAATAGTGAAGCATTTAAAGAAGAAAAGAAACGTCAAGAAAAAATATTATTGAATAATAGGCAAAATATTCAAGGAAATAAAATACTTTAACATGTAAATTGTTACTTTTTTTAATAAATTAAATTTATTAAGTACTACTGCTATGTATTATATGATTGGTTTCTAATGATTAAATTTATTTAATCATTAATCACAAACGAAAATTACACACGATATTTAGCTCTTATAATAATAATTGTACATGACTTCCAGTCAAGTACCTACATAACCTCACCAACAGATCTTTACCATAAATGAGATATAATCTAGATATGACATTCAATGTTTTTTCACATTCCACGTTTTGATGCAAGTACACACATATTGCTGTATCGTGTTTGTGACTGAATAAAATTCTTTTTATGATGTGATTTCTGTGTTTGCTACAGTCAATTACAAAGAATGTAAGGAATACTTTTAAAGGGCACTTTTAAGACAGTGCCATAAAAATCTTAGAAAAAGTAATGCATGTTAAATCTACTTTCGTTTATCAATGATATAATAATAGATTAATGAAGTTTTGCCACATTCAGTTGAATAAATAAATTTCGGTGTAATAATAAATAAATTTCGTTTGGCAATATTGATTTAATTCCCAATTTTAATCGATACGGCAGGAAATGATAAAAACATGTGACGCAGAAGTACATTGAGTGTCACGTCTTTTCTATAGCTTGTCTATGGCGAAGAGAACATTAGTGTACAACGCCATCGTTTAAGGCGGGGCAAACAACGGAAACTCCAAAGTCATATGATCGATCTGCAATTCATTTAGGACACAGCCATCTCTGTTCGTTACAAGGATGGCCAGCCAAACGCAAGGTATTCAACAGCTTCTGGCAGCTGAAAAAAGAGCTGCGGAAAAGGTTGCAGAAGCTAGAAAACGTAAGTTACCATTCAAACATTGTAAGTGTATTTTAACATGGACGTATTTTCGGTATCACCTATATTATCAGTAACCACTTCTGTCGTGACCCTGAGTTTGAATGGGTGTAACTTTCTAAATCTATTGAAAACTTCTGTTAAAATAACTATTAACTTTTACATTGTCAAGCATTTTGGATGCAAATAGTATGAATTTGATAAATACTTGTAACATTGATCAATACTCTAACCATTGTTGATATTGTAGATAATTTGCAGATATATCTTGCAAAGTGGTTTTCTCTTCATGATCAAATCATAATGTAAAAGATTAACAGACTGATTCGAGTTGTAATGTAATATTGCTTATAGGTAAGGCACGCAGATTGAAGCAAGCGAAGGAGGAAGCACAGGATGAAATTGAGAAATATAGGCAAGAACGAGAAAGACAATTCCGTGAATTTGAAGCAAAGGTGAATAATTTTAAATACTGAATTAAATATTGAACTTTTTTTGTTTTAACAGCTTAATTGAATATATTACAAAGTAATACATTATGCATATCTTTTTGTTATCCTCGTGTGTAGCACATGGGATCGAAAGAGGATGTAGCAGCACGTATAGAAGCTGATACAAAATTAAAAACAGAGGAAATGAGTCAGACCATCTGTATGCATAAAGATTCCGTAAGTTGAGACATGAAACTTATATATATGGAGAAAGTAATATCCTTCATTTTAAACGTCTAGTATTTGTGCCTTTTTTTTATTACATAGGTTGTGTGTACGATCTTGGACTTGGTGTACGACATTAAACCAGAATTGCACAAGAACTATCGTATCGAAATTTAAGTTAGAAGAATCGTATCGATCGATTATAAATATTGCATCTTATATTATAAATGTACATTAGGTACTTTCCTTTATCATATCTTAATACGTATCGATTGTTGTTACATTATAATCTTATTGGAGAATGTATATACCTTTTAATCGTAGATGGTGATATATATTGAAATTATTAGAATTTTCTCTGCAGTTGCTATATGACAATAAATGTAATTGTATTTATGCTGAGCTTTTACCACCATTATTGGAGAGTTGAAGGTCATAGTAGCACTAAACAAGTTATCGTCATTGTGATATATCAAGGCCTAGATATATTAAGATGACGTGTAAATGTTAAAGCTTAGGGTGATGGAGAAAAAGTTATGTGTCATTATAGCATATATCGTTAGATGTCATTCCATAATTCTGTTACATCGAGGACAAGATGCATGTTAAAGGATGTACAACTTCTAAAGAATCACGAATAAGCTCCTAATCCGATGGTTCTCACGACGATGTACATAAATGCGTATTACTTGTTTTGTCTATTTTGTTTTGTTAAGTCATAGGAGGGAATGAAGTTACATTTGATGTATAAACCCTGTCTCTGTATGCTGCTGGTTCATCTGTACAGTATTAATGTTTGAAAATAAAAACCGTGAACGTGTAATCCTACTGAAGTTCCTCCGTCGTCCACCGAACGGTGATGTTTGCAATAATTTCTGATTCTATCAATGGCTATCATCGAAATTTGCATCGGACAGATTTACATATAAATGTTAATAACGAAAAATAAGAACAGAATAAGAAAATGTCCGATTAAAGTGCATTGCAAGTTCAAAAATTTGCGCCAGAATCCAAGTTTTCGAGTTCGTCGAACTTTTGATCGCGCAGACGCGGTTTGTGTGAAAAACGAAGCCATAATGTAACAGAAGCAAAAACAAAAACAAAAACAAAAACAAAAAAAAAGAGAATAAACGCCCGTTACGTTCATCGGGATTGGAATACTTAAATAGGCGAGGAAAGAAAGAAAAAGAAAAAGAAGAAAAGATAAAGCGGGAAGAAGCGAGTAATGTGGGGGGAGGATCAGCTATATAAACCTAACCTTCCCTCTCCGTGACAGGAGTTGGTGGTCTCGGCCAGCAGTTGGTTGGATGCGCGTATTGCGTGTGGGTAATGTGCGTTGACAACACTAGCGCCAGTCCGTAGACACCGAGAGGTGATTCGATTTTACGAACTAATGCTGGCAGCGCGAAGCGGTCAGTACGTGTGCCATTCTGCACCGAGAAATGGAAGCCAACGAGACGTGTCCGAGTAATACCAGCGCGAGCACGTTACCGACGTACGAAGTGCGCGAGGATGCGGTGACAGCTGTGCACGGGTACGCGTTTTAACTGTGTTATGATCAAGAACACGGCAAGCGAGGCCGGTCGCCGACCAGCTGTGTGCCCGAGCGAGAGATCGTCGTAATCATCGTCATCGTCATCGTCGTTGTCGTTGTCGTTGTCGTTGTCGTCGCGCGTGCCGAAAATCGCGTTTAATCGTTGATCGTTAAGTTTCCTTTGTTTGTCTAGTTACGTCTAGTCTGTAGAAATCGCGCGTCGCGAGTTCCCACCGGGTGAAAAACGAGGTGCCTGTAACGAACCTCTTTGGATACAACCTAGGTAGTAAGATGTGGTGTCTCGTTAGTCAAGCGAATTCCGTCATCCTCGAGGTGCAAGTCGATCCGAAAGCCATTGGTCAGGAGTGTCTGGAAAAGGTGAGTCACTCTACTGTTGTTGCACCTTTTGTTTGTTTATTATCCCGTTCTCTCGCTCTCGATCCCGTGTACGTTCGACCCGTGTCTCGTTTGTGGCAGTTGTGTTCTCGAATCGCTTCGATCCAACTGTTCGTTCGCGATCCATCTCGGTGAAACGTTCGAAAAGATTCTGCAAAAGTTTCCTGAAGCCGAAGAAAGCAAGAGGCGATACGAACGTAGCTCGATAAAGATGACGTACGTTGAACTCCGTCTACGTAGATGTTTGCCCCGATCGGTGAACGTCGTAAGGTGTAGAACACGACGAAGGCAAACAAACAAGTTAAAAAGCACCTTGTTCAAATATTTAGCTTATTGCTAACGGTGTCTCTGGTCGTCGTTGCAAACAATACGAACGTACGTCGGAATGTTCATCAATTTCTTGGCAGAGAGTATGTTAAACTTTCGTTCGAAATGGTGATCTAGTCTGATTCGATCACTTCAGACGGAGAGAATCGTGGTTAGGAAACTCGATGAAAAATAAACGTGTACGCGCGCGCATGATATACGCAGAAGTATAAATACATCTGAGAAACGTAGCGAATCGTGAAAACATGAGGCGTATTTGGTTCGAGGGAAAGACGGTGTGGATCGTAACTCACGTGCGCAACAGATGCCTCGAAAACATTCGGCCACTGCGTATAGTGGAGACCATGACAATGAAAGATTGTCGTTCATTTCGACTGACATAACTTTGTAGAAAAAAATTGTGTAATCATCTACGTGGTGAAAGCGTGAATCTTAAATCGTGGATTTCTCTTGAAATCCAAACGCGCGCAGAGACATTAAAAAATTTTGTTCGCTACTAAATTTGCCACAGTCTTGAAAAATGAAATTTTCTCTTGAAGCTGTACGATTTTCTTTTTTTTTTTTAATCGTTTTGTTGAATTTGGGACATTAAGGTAAGAATGGTTTTGAATCTTGTTCAATCCTAATGTTCAAAGTTCAATGAAATGGTGAAAAGAAATCGTGCAACAAGTTTTAAGGGATCTTACAAACGTGTTATATATCCTCAGAAAATATAAAAGCAAAGGAAATATTGGGAATGAACCTTGTACTGAGCGACTGAAGAAATTAACGGAGAGAGAGAGGAGGCAAGACCTTAATTCGCCATACTCGGAAGATCCCTTTACTTCCGGATTACAAATGGCGTCAATGGTAGAAACACAATTTAACAAAGTAGTGCATTTTGCAAACATTCTCTATGCATCCACGCGAAGAAATAATAACTATATACATTAATGCTCCGTCGACTTTCGTCTAAAAAACTTTCTGATATACATAATTGATCGTTTCGAAAATATTTCAGTTTCTTATCTTTTAAAAGTGACTCACCCGGAATAATAACTAAATCACTATATATTAGGTTGTTCGAAAAGTTTCTTTTGTCTTATTTATGAACAATGGATGCGCGATATTTTATGTTCTACATCACGTTGTTGAATTATATACGATCCACTCCGATTTGTTATCTTCCTTCATCACTCTGAAAGCTGCACAATGTCATCCTTTCAAAACTTCTGAGATTTGCTAGCTCGATTGTATTGTTTGACATGCATTCTTATTTATCATTTGCTGAGCCAAATTTTTTTTTTTTTTGTACTACAGAGGTTTTTAAACGAAGATTTAATTTCCCCTATGATTTCTGATTATTAGCTATTCCTTTGTTAAAAAATTCCTTCTGTGGCTCATTAAATGACGCATAAAAACGCGTCTCTAACAATATTTCGCTAGCAAATACTAAGAAATTTTAGAAATGGTAGGCTTCCGGAAAGTTTCTTCCCACCTGTTTTTTTTTTTTTTTTTTTTTTTTAATAAAACACCAAATTGTAGGAAAAGATTTCATTAATTTTAAATTAATAAAATTTTATTAATTTTAAATAATTTTATTAATTTTAAATAATTTTAATTTTAAATAATTTTAATTTTAAATAATTTTATTAATTTTAAATAATTTTAAATTAATAAAATTTTATTAATTTTATAAATCTCATTAATTTCAACACGATCTTCTCATTGTGTTTTAAAAAAAATCATCACTTTCAAACAAGTTGACCGGCAGAGCGTTCGCAAATTACAGATTTATTAAAATAAGAAGTGATTTTCGGCCCACCCTGTGGACAATCAGACTGAATCGTGATTCAATGATACGTCGTGAAACATAGAACACAGGCGTGCACACGCGAAACTTTTCGGGCAACCGAAATAATGGAAAACTACTCACGCTTTGCCAATGTGTTATACAGAGATTCATATCGAATTATATAATTATGCCCGTGACTGAAATATATATCTTTGAAGCTTACGAAGCGAACCGAGAGGAAACGAGTTGTCCCATGCAAACGAGACCCTGGGATACAGGTAGTCTTCCAGCGACATGTTTACCTCTAATATCAATCCGTGCAGAGCACTCGACGATGATTACGGTGCAACCAAGTGGGTCAAAGCCTAACTGGGTCGCAATTTCACCGAGCACCGTATTATTAGATGCTTGTGCATGTGTACACCTTCGTGTATATGTGTGTATGTGTGTGCACCGACAGAATAAATTTTCGAAGATTCTTGAATGGGCATACCACGTGCATGCTGTTAAGAGCATAACTGTACCAACGACAGTGAAAAATTGCCGATAATTTTAAACTGATGTATAACTTTGTAGAAGAAGATCGTGCAACAATCTTCATTTGATCTCATTTTAAAATGTGCAACCTTCACTTTCGCAACGAGTGAGTTTGTTCTCTCTTTTTTTTTTTTTTTTTTAATTGAAAAAATTTCTCCAAACGACTGTTATTCGCTACGATCTCGAAGATTGGAGTTTTCTCTTTACAACGAGCCCTTAAAACCTCCTGTGCGATTTTTTTTTTCACCATTTTCTCGAACTTGGAATATTAGACTTATCGTTAGATGACGAAGTAATTAGGATTTCTCGCTCAACCCTAATATCCAGCGTGGCGGGAGAAATAATCGCAAACGACAGATTTCGACAGATTTCAATTTTTAGGATGACAGATCATTTTTTAATATCTTCACACGCGTTTGCATTTGTATAATTTTCGAGAACAAAAGCATCTTTATTTCTTTTGCGCATCGTTGCACGATGTAAGAGCATTGAGAAAAGAGAAAAGAGTCTCGCGACTGTCAAAATAGAAGCTTTTCACGCTTTAAAATGAGACCAAATGGATCGTCACGCGATCGACTTAAATTATCGACAATTTTTCATTGTGTTATTGCTTATTGTACTTATTGTACTCTTCACTGTACACAATACATGCACGTCTTCCGAACGTGTTTGTAGTCTATAGTTATTGGGTGTACTTGTCTTCGCAATTAGCATCGGAAAAATTGAAAATTGAACGTGAGAGAACGACTCAAAGTGAGGAAGATAAATGAGCGTCGTGAATAATCATACTCTGCTCTGTCTCAGATTCTTTTCAACATCAAAGCTCTTATTGTTTTCGTACTGTAAAGTAAAACTAAACCGATGTGAACGAAATTCCTCTCTCTAGGAATCAGAAGGAAACTAAATTTGCTCTTGAAATTGTGTTTTCATCTGCGAGGAAATATAAACTCAATATTAATTTTATCTTTTCATTTACTATAGTAAATTTCTCTCTGTTCAATCGATCAGGAACACTATTTGTGTATCGTGCTCTCGTGTAATTCAGTACATATATTTTTATTAATTCAATATTAATTAATTAATATAATATATTATAATATATATTTTTATTAATGCAATATTAATTAATTAATATAACATATAATAATATATATTTAATTATAATATATTATAATATATATTATTATTAATTCAATATTAATTAATTAATATAATATATTATGATATATATTTAATTATAATATATTATAATATA